GGAAAGCATCCACGAGGCACTATCTTGCCGGGTTAAACATCCCCGAATCATTCGCTACACTTTTTCTCTGCCCGACATAGCAGCCAGGAACATGAGTGTAAATGTTGCCTGACTATAGAGATATAGTATGTCTCCATGTGTCCAGGAGCAATCATATCTTCCCTTATAGAAATGTTCCCAACAAAAAGGCCAAATCCTTGTTTCCTCTGGCCCTGGGTGGCACATGGGCTCCACCCGTTGTGCGTTGGAGAATAGAAGCCATGCGCAGAGCCCTGTAGAGGCTTCAGGGTGTATCCACTGAGCTGGGGGACCAGGGGAGTCCCTTTAAAGAGCTGTGTGTTGGTATAGTGGACGCTTGCATGCTAAGCCCTACGGTGGGCCCGTGAATGGCTCCGGGATTTCGCACAAAGACATGATGTCATGATGCAGGGTGCGGACCCTATTGAGCACGTGCATTGAGGCGTGAGGCCAGATTAGACCTCGAAGCAGGGCACCAACTGGACGTTAATCAGAACGCCAACACGCTAACAAACATATCGTACGGTGATCTGCCTACAGCATGATGGTGCAATGCATTTCCTGCTCGCAGTGCCTTTGAAAGAGAGAAAGTAACCAAAATCTTAGGTTTGTAATGAACTTATAAATGTGATGCAATTTAAGACCTCTGTTACATCTAACAATATGCATTATGTGATTCCAACACATTGTAGCAGGGGGTTGGTTTGATTTGGCCTCCCTGTTACCCTTCACACAATGAACATCTCACACCACTCCCTGAGGGAAAACATTTTTAGAGGAGGAGTACTTTAGAAGCAACAAAACACTTTTGTATGCACGACATATAACACATATATAAGGACTGCATACAGTACAATTACACCTTCATCAGCAATGAAAGCAGAAGGTTGTTTCTTCTTTCTTTTGTGCTTCTGGTTTGACCCCATCGTGGGGTCATGTCCTTGCTGCAGTTAATGGCTGGACTCTCATCACTCTCTGTGGAAGCAGTCACCAACAGGGGCTGCAGTGCACATAGAAATACTCTTTTTCTTAGCTTCAAACAAGCACTCAAACTTTAATATTAAAATACTTGATAAAAGAAGCTTTTTACAAGGTGAAGAAATGAAGTAAGTGGATCAAATGAATCAGAGAAAAACAGAACATGGAATAATAAGAAAAGAAAACTTGTCAGTGTTGATGTCAATATTGCCAGCAACCCAAATTAAAAGACAGGAAACATCAGTTAATTTATAATAACATTTTTTTAATGGGAATTGGTGACCCCAACAAGCATATTAAACCATCCCATGGGCCTAATCTTTTGTATAACTTCCTGCAGACCCACAGTTCTCCCTCTAATACTTTTTTCTAAAGACATCGAAGTTCAACAGTCAGCTAAAATGCCTGCATATTATGCACAGCAGTCCTCATGCATTACACACTTTTGAAATTGATTTGTATAATCTCACAATAGGGGGCATCATTACTCAACAGAGGACTGGCATCCAGCAACTCTGAGGCTGCACGTCCAAAAATGCAAAGGATGTTCAGTAGCAACATCACTGAGCCTAGAGAGTTATTATAAGGAGAAAAGACCGAGATTACAGAAGACAGAGATATATTCCATGCCATCCATAAATTTTTGATCCATCCTCTCAGAAGAGGTGGCTGAGGAGGATTCAGCACCACCAGCTGTGTTACTGCTGTGCACAGCAACTGTTATCATTTCTTTTTGCGACTTGCCTTCAAGGTTTATCAGCACACTTCTTGACATGTATGTATTGTATGTATATATATATGTATAAAATATCTAAATCTTTGGTTTTGACATAAAATGATAAGACAGGAAGGGTATATTCTTAGTGTACCAAGCCATATGATTGTGATATGACATAACATGTTTATGATTATTATATATGAGGCTACAGCAACACCTTCATTGTTTTCTTTTTCAGGCATTCAGTTATATTTGCAGCTGTGCTTGGGATCATTGTCCTGTTGCATGACACTTTCAGCCAAGCTTTAACTGTCAGACATATGGCTTCACGTTTGACTCTAGAATACATTGGTATACAGCGGAGTTCGTGGCTAACTCAGTGGCTGTAAGGTGTTGCTCCTGTGGCTGCAAAATAAAGCCAAATCATCACCCCCTCCTCCATCATGCTTGACAGTTGGTATGTGAGGCTCATATGCTGTGTTTGGTTTCCACCCAATGTGCCACTGTGCATTATCTCCACTTTGATCTCATACATCCAATGGACTTTAGTGTTAACATCTTGTGGTTTGTTCAGATGCAGCTTTGCAAACCTAAGCCATGCTGCCATTGGAAGAGGCTTTCTTCTAAACAAGTCGTTTTTTGATTGTTCTGAACTTTAACATTTAACATGCTAACTTAGGCCTGTACAGCTGTGGTTGCTCCTTAGGCCTGTAGAGTCTGAGATGTAACTCATATTTTTTCCAGTTCCTCTGAGCAACAGTCTGACCTTTGGGTAAATTCGCTGGGAAGACTGGCAGCTGTGTAAAAATTTTTTGCACTTGTAAGTATTTTTCTTGGCAACAATTGGAAATCCCCTCATGACTCTTCCTAAATGGCAACAATTGTTTCTGTAAGATAACTGCTTATCTCTTTCTTCCTTGACCTTTGCAGGCCAGCAAATTGCCAAAGCATCTGCTTCTATAGAGGCGCTCACACTTACTGATGGAAGCTGTAGTGGTGTGTTCATCGGAGTTTTTGTTGCACGGCTGCACGTTATCAGTTCAGAATTCTACAAGCCCAGGTTGATCACACAGCACTTTAAAGAAAAAACCTCTTGTTTTCAAACTCATAATGTTATTGTGTCTTTTTTCACACTCTTTTAATCACATGAACTTCACATGAATCATCTCTGTTGGTCGTAGTTCTGTACACATAGAGGAGACATTCACTGCGGGTTTAAAGAGATGGCATCAGCGATGTCCTTCACAGATTACAACGTGACCCCAGGGCAGCAGTGTGTCTCATGACAGAGCAGAACACTATGACCTCAATGACATAAGGCTTATGTTTTAAAGACAGAGATACGCTTGTTTCTAAACTTGTTTGTTTAGTCTGCAAACATAAGGCCATGCATGTGTGTGTGAATATCTGAGTTTCAGCATTTCTCTTTGTATTCCGTGACCTACTGCCTCACTGACAAAGTTTTTCTTTGTGTTTTTCTTTCCTTTTTTTTTTTAAATCCTTTTTCTTTATGAATCATCAATTTGGTTTTGGAGTGGTGTTGAACAAAGCTTTCTGACATTCAGATACCATCGCTTCGCTAGCAACTGTCTTTGTTATGCTTCCACTTTCACACAGACGTTCTTCGCTTTCAGGAAAAAAAACAAAAAAACATTCTTCTCAGTCAAATTTTTCATTTCCTCCAAAAACTGGTGCCGAACTGGTATCTCTTTCCTGAAATGGGGAGAAAGGGTGAAACCATTCATGAAGGCATTCAAAATTTACTGAGTGAAAACTTGCTGTATTACCCAACAGAAACTGGTGAGAAGACAGACAAAAGCTGCAGTCTAGGAGCATGACATGGTGAAACTAAACTGAAGCCAAAAAAAACCCATGCCAAGCCTTCCAAATTAGTTAAAATTCACATATAATGAATACACACACCTCCTCACATGAATCTACACATACACACACAGGCCCTACATGTGTCGCATTTGGTCACGAGCCACAGCATTGTGTGTTTCAGGGCTGAGTTCTTGCGCCCAGCTGGAAATGAGTTCTACCATTGTGTTTTGGGAAGTCATATTTGTTGAATTTGGACCAACCCTCTGACCTTCATATGTTCAGTTGGTCACACAGGCATTAGTCTCATGGGACAGGGTCATTTAGAGCCTGGAAGTGCATAACCAGGCCCGCAGAACACACTTTACTACAGGAAATGGCAGACAAAAAAACTCATATGCATTAAACTCTGTTTGCTGAGAAAGTAAAATGTGTCATGACAAAGCCAGTAGTAGTGCTGACAAATTTGAAAGTTTGTTCACTGGTAAATATTTTTTACCGGTTATTGTGTGACATTTTGTTGGAAAAGAGAGCAGTGTGTTTAAACGGTGAGAAGATTGGACTGTTTGGACTAACTACCTGCATTTGTGTTTAAGGCTTCCCCTTCCGTGTCCTGTTAAGACTAGCAAACACCATCCTCCTGTGTCTGGTTGTTCAGTGGGCCACCGATATCAGATCCCAACTTGTTTGCAGTCTGATAATAGTGTTTTAATTTCTGAGTGTTTTTTGGCAAAGTTTGCTAAACTCTCACCAACTTCATCTGGAATATTCAGCAGTCTGCTACAGTCTTTTTGTAGGAAAGGGATTTTGTGACTGCTTTCTACTCATTCGGTAATTCAGCATAGCATCTGTCATTGTCTTTATGATGATATGAGGACTGTAAAATTTAAAACACAGTTGAAATAAGAATTTGTCATTCATATAGCTTTAAAAATGTGGAAGACATGGCTAAATAGATAAAAAGAGGAACTCAGAATGACTTCTGACTGCTATAAATGAAGTAGCATGGTGGCTGCGGTGTAGGAGGTGGTCAAGGTGGATTACTTCCTGGTCAAGCTTTACATGATTGAACACGAGCAACCACAGCTGTATCCTAAAAGCCTCAATACATGTGAATTAAATGTTTTATACAAACTGGCAGGGATTTCAACCGCATCATTTACCTCCAAAGACCCAGAATGAACAAGAGTTCATTCAGTGTCGCAGATAAATTAACTGTGAGATCAGATGATTCAACCTTGAATAAGTCATTCTTAAACTGTTGACACTTTCCCTGAGCTTGAGTCAGAGGATATTAGATTTATAAGTCACAGACAACCTGGGAACTGCAACTAGTTTGGGGTTTTTTTTTAATTTTGTTTTTACAGATTTTCAGGCTTTGAGCCTTGCATGAGGAAATGAGCCATCCTGAGAGCTTGACTGAGTCCGCCCCAAGAAGAGAGAGTGACAGAGAGAGACTGGGTGAGATACAAGGCATGAATTGTTCTCACCATTGAATAAAGAAGGGGCAGCTTCCGCTCTAGCAACACCAGGCACTATGGAAGCGGAGAATCGGTGCGCATACAATGGAGATGGGGTAAGGAGAGGGGAGGGCAGACAGGAGGTGTGAATGGAGGAAGGATGTAAGTCCTGTGCCCGACTAGATGTAAGAACCTGGATGAGAAAGATGCATTTTAGGACGACCACTCAGGAGAAAATTCCTTGACTTTTGTGCACATATCACTTGTTGCACTGACTTTCTCACAACCTGAATACAACCTTTCCAGAATGATACATTCCTTGGGACATGTATTAATATATTATTCATATACATTAATTCTATTGCTCTGGGACACAGAGAGAGATTTAAGTGTCTGGCCGAGTGTAACAATTATGTCATTACAATTAGTGTGGCCGAGCCTTAAAATATTATCTCATATTCTCTCATATTGTTTTGATGAAAATCAACGATTACCAAGTAGCAAAAATACTGACAGCCATTACAAAGAGGACATAAAGTCTCTCATAGGGTTGTAGACAAAAGATCCAGGTGCTCAAAATAAATAAAGTACCCAGTACCAGCAAGGTGGCCTTAAAGTGGTTAGCAATAGTTCTTGTGCATTTAGTAATACAAAGAAACGTGTGTAGATAACTGTTTATGTATCTGTATGTTTATGTATCTGAGCCACCTTAATTCTTCATTACGTAGAAGATGAGTCTGCTGTGATCATAAAGAAATGGTCATGGTCAGCAACAATACTCGAGTAGGCTGTGGTATTTAAACTATGCTAAGTTGGTAGTAAGTGCCAGGAAAATCATTGATACAAAGTAGGTAAGGTACTTTGCTTAGCATCGTGGAGCAACTGTGACCACATAATTTCCTCTGGGATTAATATAAAGTACTCTGATTCTGATTGATAAGGACTGATTCATGCTTTCATGTAGCTTATTTTTAATTCTGACCCAACCATTGAAATGTTGCAGGAGAAATTGACACTCATCAGACCAGACAATCCATTTCCAATATCTAAGATAAATTGTGATGATTCCATGGAAACTATAGCTTCAGTTTCCTGGTCTTAGCTGACCGGATTGACATCCGTGGTCTTCTGCTGTGGATCCAAGGTTCACTTCTACATACCTTAGTTGCAATGAGTGTTTATATTTCAGCTTCCGTTGTCTTCCTAACAGCTCAAAGTAGCCTGACTGTTCGTCTCTGAACTCTGGAATCAACAAGGCAATTTTTCCCAAAGAACTGCTGCTCAGTGAATATTTTCTCTTTCTCTGTAAACCCTAGAGATGTCTGTGCAGGAAAATCAGCAGCAAATCAGCAGTTTCTGAAATACTCAGACCTGGCTGTCTGGCACCAAAAAACCATGCAACATTCAAGGTCACCTAACTCACCTTTCTTCCACGTTCATACGTTTTAAATGTTTCCATATGTTTCCTGGTAACTTTGCCTGACTGTTGAGGGGTTATTGGCTTCAACAGCCACATGTGCTGAGAGTCAGCAGAACGGAAAAAAAAATTGCTGTCATCTGTGAAACCAAAACAATGCCGTGAAAGGTGTTAAAAGATGATATAATACTTGGAAAAATTCAGATTCAGAGTGTTAATATGAGCAACGCCTTTCATTGAGAGATCATTTATTAATTACTTATATTGATTACAACACGTTTAAGATTTAAAAGCCATTTTTAGCGTTTGATATAAAAAAAATATCACCTTGTGCAGCTAAGCACACTTGCCTCTGCCTGGGAATCAACAAGGTGTTTTGAAACCTGCAAGGAAGCAAAACAAAAGGAGGATGAAAGCTATGAATTTTTGAGAGAGTGCCGAAAGGGTGACTAAGGTTCTGAGAAATGCAGAGTAAGAATGAACCTGTGGGCATGCATATCACTCGGGGCAGGAAGAGCAGTCTCAAGGACTGGATGTGACTTTATAAAAGAGTAACACCCTCTGTCTCTCTATCAGGGAAATCTAGGCCAGACCCAGGATGACTTCATGCTCAGATCCTTGCAGCGAGCCAACCACCCAACACAATGTTATCTGCAGATAGAAATGGACACGCGGTCAGCCATCTACTGGCAGCCACCACCGAGGTGTTCTCACATATGCTACGCTGGCAATGATTTATAACTTGATCGTGTTTCTTCGAATGCATCTGGGACACTTTAACAATGAGCAGGAAGCCATAAAACATAGCCACGGTAAAGTGTCTAAGACAGAAAATACACAACAACAATTCATGAACATACTTAAATTGTTAAATCAGCTGTAAAAGTGCCTCTTGCTTGTTATTTATTTGATTTAAAATAGCTCCACTCAGGGGTCCATCAGGCAGAAAGAAGCAGTCCTAAACTGCCTTTTTGTTGCCCTTGCCTGGTGGCTGCACGTCACACTTCTGCTGGATCTGACCAACAAAGCTGTTCTTTCATTCACTGTTTGTTTTTAGGGTTATATAGGAGGCATACTTACACACGCCCCGTGTCTGTCTTCAGCCATCATACAAACTGAAAACATATGGGCTAAATTTGTTCACACACACACACGCATACACACAGTACCCATCTGTCCTCATGTCTCAGTTAGTTAGTCGTCTTGGGTGAGGGGTCACACAGATATCCCTCTTCCTGCATTTGTTAGGCTCCTTCTCCACGGCTGCACACTGGGATGCTGTAATTCTACCTTGGTGGCAAAAATATGGCATTAAGTCCATGTTTCCTTCGGCTCTTTCCATATCTTGATAACCTTGTTCTTAGGAGGGTGGAGAAGGAACTGACAAGGCCCTCTGCATGGATTTTGTTTGCTTTCATTTCGACATTCAAACATTCAATAATCTTATAAAAGCTTTTGGAATAAAAACACTGATAGTTGACTTTACAGTATGCCTCACTGACGTATATTTGAGGCCCCTGGGTATTTTTCACTCCATATAAATATGTTAATATTTGATACAGATGCAGAAAATAATGGCTTTTCCTTAAAATACAGTGGGCTACAGGTCCATTTACTCTCCAACCTTGTTTTAAAAAGAAAGTGTGCCGCATGTTTTGACAGCGTGTATTCAAACTGTGCTTTTCTTGCCATATGTGGCTGTACAAACCAGTAATTTACCCCCCAGCATCAGCAGCAGAAGGTACAGCTGCTAGAGAACATATGGAAAGATTCAGCAGCTAAACCCTCTCAGGAGACCGTAGAGATTGAAACAAAATGTCAGACCTACATTTTAACAATTTTTAGTGTTCAACAATGTTAATAGAAATTAATCAAATAAGTAATTTAACTTAATAACTAAATATAATATAAATCACACTCTTGTTTGCTAACCTGTTCACTGTATTAACTTGAAAGGGTATATTACAGTCACTGACCACATGGCTACTTACATCTCTTTAACCGCTCAGGAACACAAATATCTAATCAGTTAATGAGTGTATTTAGGTGTGTAGGCATGGTCAACACGCCCTGAAGTTCAAATTGAGCATCAGAATAGGGAAGAAAAGTGATTTAAGTCATTGGTACCAACAACATTTATTTCAAAAACTGCTGAGCTAATGAGAATTTCCTACACAGCCATCTCTAAGGTTTACAGAAAATAGCCCAAAAAAGAGAAAATATCCCGTGAGCAGTAGTTCTCTGGGTAAAAATGCTTAATTCATGACACAGACTCACCAAAACTGAACAACAAAAGACTGGAAAATGTAGAATAGAAAGACTAATCTAATCTCAGCTCATCTCTTGCTAAAGGGTGTTACCACAGCAGGTTGCTTTGCAAGTTTGATTTAGCGGTTTTACACCAGAGGCCCTTGCTGACACAACCTAAAATGGAGCTTGTGTCTCCAGCTGAAGTCAAATAGCTGATTGCATCTAAGTAATTAAGTAAGCTAATAATTTTACAGTGTGAAGTTTAAATTCAAACTATTTGTTATTTAATTTATGTGATTTATTTAATCCTCCAAATTTCAAATGTAAAGTAAGGCCTTTGAAAACAACCATTATCATGCAATGTTGTTTCTCTGTGGCATGTCACAGATCATGAGCCAAAAAAGGTTTACAGCCCACATCCCACATTCTCTCATTACACCATTGAAAGGATCGCAACTGAATTGTACATAGTAGTCAGTACCAAAGCCATCGGTATTACTCAACATTACTCAGATAGTTCACTTCCTTTATGACTCCTCTACCTGTGCTACTGTTATTATGCGGCTTGACAGTAACACAGGTAAAAATTTAAAACAATTTGTAGCAAAAGCAAAACAAGAAATAAAGACAGAGCCAGTCTTCAGAAGTGTGTTTATGTTTGTAAGTTTGTTGCTCCCCATATGAGAATGTCACAAAATCAGGAGAAAATTCTAATTTCCCAGCGTTGTTCATTTACTTCTTGTATCAACAATGACGGCTTTGTCGCATTAATTATGCAATGCTGACTTTGATCAGTGCAACTGTGAACAGAAATAACAGTGGATAACAGTCCTGGTCCCTTTTCCACTGTTAGGCAATCATTGTAAATGTAATAAAACCATGTTAAAGAGAAGTCCTCACTGTGGAAAACATGATAAGGCTGTGGATATGAATATCCAGCCTTTTTGCCATCTGTGCCACAATAAGGATCAAAGTGTTGTTGGTAAGAATAGAGCTGATCTCACTTTGTGGAGACTTATGTGACGTCTAAAATACAACTACTGTGGGCCTCTTGCAATTTCGACCTTGTTGGTTCAAAGCTTTGTCGGCCTATAATGTGCAGACAGCACGGCTAATCAATTAGTGCCTCAACCACATGCTCTGCACGGCTTGTCAAGGGAGCGACAGTATTTTAATAATAACCAATAGTTCTCAGTAACAAGGTCAATGAGAAAAGGGTGTGGTCTGTGTCTCCATTGGTCTTGAAACATACTGCCTTGAAAAACTGTGTCACTATCACACTAATAAGGTCTTCTTTTTACTTTACAACAGCTTAAGATTGGAAACTCACGGCTTGAGTAACTGTTAAGTCGCTTATAAATGAAATATCAATACACTGTCATTCATAGTGTTTTCTCTGGGGGTTTTTTAATCTCTCCTTGAGTTGTGTTTATAAGATAGTGATCATTC